CCAAGAAGGATGCTCACATCATTGCTATCCACTTTGGTGACAACGATATCTAGTCGAGTGTCGTTGTTGACATCACCAATAGCTACAGATTCTGGATAAGAGCCAACTGAATACCTTGTTTCAGTTTCAAAAGAACCATTTCCATATCCAAGAAGGATACTCACACTATCGCTACCCGCATTGGCAACAACGATATCTAGTCGAGTGTCATTGTTGACATCACCAATAGCTACAGACCATGGAAAAGAGCCAACTGAATACTTTATTTGATTTTCAAAAGAACCATTTCCATATCCAAGAAGGATACTCACATCATTGCTCCACGAATTGGCGACAACGATATCTATTAGAGTGTCGTTGTTGACATCACCAATAGCTACAGAGCGTGGAGAAGAGCCAACTGAATACCTTGTTTGAGTTTTAAAAGAACCATGGTTATACGCAACAAAAATATCCACATGATCACGTCCATCGTAAGTGACAGCGATCTCCGATCGTGTGTCATTATTAAAATCACCAGAAACCATAACTAACGGAGGTGTATCAAAGTCAATTTCATAACTTGTTTGAATTGCAAATTTTCCCTGCCCATTTCCAAGCATCATATCTACATGCTTTGTACCATGATTGGCCACAGCAATATCCACTTCACGATCACCATTGAAGTCCCCAAGTGCAATAGAAATCGGATGAGAATTCATGCCAGTGTTGAGCATCATTTGATTTTCAAAACTACCGTTCCCATATCCAAAAAGGACGCCGACATTATTAGTGCCATAATTAGCTAAGACAATATCCAGATTAGTGTCATTGTTCAAATCACCAATGACTACATATCGTAGGCTAGAACCACCACCAGGTGCCAAGCTCATTTCATATGTAATCGCTCCTCTGTTATATTGCAGCAGAACACTCACATCATTGCTCCGCGGATTGGCGACAACGATATCTAGTCGAGTATCGTTGTTGACATCACCAATAGCTACAGAGCGTGGAGAAGAGCCAACTGAATACCTTGTTTGAGTTTCAAAAGAACCATCCCCATATCCAAGAAGGATACTCACATCATTACTATCCTCATTGGCGACAACGATATCTAGTCGAGTGTCGTTGTTGACATCACCAATAGCTACAGATTTTGGATAAGTGCCAACTGAATAACTTTTTTGATTTTCAAAAGAACCATTCCCATATCCAAGAAGGATGCTCACATCATTGCTATCCACTTTGGTGACGACGATATCTAGTCGAGTATCGTTGTTGAAATCACCAATAGCTACAGATTGTAGAGAAGAGCCAACTGAATACCTTGTTTCAGTTTCAAAAGAACCATTCCCATATCCAAGAAGGATACTCACATCCTTGCTCCGCAAATTGGCGACAACGATATCTAGTCGAGTGTCGTTGTTGACATCACCGATAGCTACAGATTGTGGATAAGTGCCAACTGAATACCTTGTTTGATTTTCAAAAGAACCATTTCCATATCCAAGAAGGATACTCACATCATTGCTAAGCCAATTGGTGACAACGATATCTAGTCGAGTGTCATTGTTGAAATCACCAATAGCTACAGATTGTGGATAAGAGCCAACTGAATACCTTGTTTGAGTTTCAAAAGAACCATTCCCATATCCAAGAAGGATACTCACATCATCGCTCCACAAATTGGCGACAACGACATCTAGTCGAGTGTCGTTGTTGAAATCACTAATAGCTACAGATTGTGGATAAGAGCCAACTGAATACCATGTTTGATTTTCAAAAGAACCATTTCCATATCCAAGAAGGATACTCACATCATCGCTATCCCCATTGGCAACAACGATATCTAGTAGAGTGTCGTTATTGAAATCACCAATAGCTACAGATTGCAGATAAGAGCCAACTGAATAGCTTGTTTGATTTTGAAAGCTTTCGTAACGTCCAACAAGAATATCAATGGCACCAGTATCATTGTTTACAACGGCAATATCTAATCGGTGGTCCTTGTCGAAATCACCTACGGCAACTGAAATCGATGAAATAGCTCCAGTTGAATTCATGGTTGCATTTTTAAAACTACCGGTTCCATATCCAAGAAGTATGGCTATATTGTCAGCGCCTTTATTCGTGGTGATTATGTCCAATCGATTATCTTGATTGAAGTCTCCTACCCAAATGGCAATTGGAGAAGCAGAATTGATGGAATAATTGACTTGATTAGCGAAAGTTTCATTACCATTATTTAGGAGCACACCTACTTCATGACTTCCAGAATTAGCGATAGCGATATCGAGAAAGGTGTCTGCATTGAAATCACCAACGGCAATGGAGTATGGTTGAGAATCAATGCCAGTTGAGATGGTAATTTGCTTTGCAAAAGTGCTGTTGCTATTTCCAAAAAGTATCACAATATTGTTAGTGCCATAATTGGCAATAGCCAGGTCTAAATAGTTGTCATTATTGAAATCTCCAGCAGCTATTGAGGACGGAAAAGAGTCGTAACCTGTCGGATATGTAATTGGAAGCGAAAAGCTCCCATTTCCATATTGATAGAGTATACTGATACTGTGCTTTCCGTAATTGGCTATGGCAATATCAAGTAGTGTGTCATTGTTGAAATGAGCACCGATAATCGCTATTGGACGAGAGGAGCCTGTTGAAAGTTCTGTTTGATTTGCAAAAGACCCATTGCCAAATCCATGAAAGATAAGGATATTGTTAGTGCCAAAATTTGCTACTGCAATATCCAAGTAAGAATCGTTGTTAAAATAACCAACTGTGACCATGTAAGGACTTGAGTAGGAACCAGTTGAATACGGAATTGGACTTTTAAAAGTGCCATTACCATATCCAAGATAAACAGTTATCGTGTTAGCTATATGATGAGCAATAACCATATCCAAACATGTGTCATTGTCGAAATCACCAGCGGCAACAGATCGTGGGCCATACTTGTATTCAACTGGTTTTTGAGCCGTTGGTTTGAATTTGAGCTCACATTTTTGAACTAAATAACAGATGAAAAGCAGTGTGATGACTGATGGGTTGCTCAAGTGCGACTATCACTGTTTGATCGTATTGGATCCTTACAAGTTTTATAGTATGCTGTCAGAAATTGTCGTATTACTATATTTGTACGCAACTCAAAATCAATCATCTTTCATTAGAATTCTACTTAGTTTTTTGAAATTCAGATAGAGCTAGATATATGCGACTATATCATGCAAGTTAATTTTCTATTTCCTTTCTTCGATTTACTCTAGAATTTGTTCAAAAAGTGCGTCATCTTTGAGAACGGAGAAGAATGTCAACGAATACAATATGGCTGAAGAGTGTGAGAGTGCGCCAAACTGCATGATTAAATGTAATCACTTCCACATTTTATAATCTGTTTTTCTAGCATTTACTTTGCTAAAAGTTTGATACAAAAGATGAAAGTTTCATATTGTTACACGCTCAAACGGTTATCAAAATTATTGTGCTAGGTAATACTTTCAGAGGTTCTATTAGTATTTTGAATTAACGATTATATTAACAAACAGAATATAAAAATAGACAAAACTATGAGGATAGAGAAAGGGATGTGAATCTACTTGCCGAGTAATCATACACGAACAGCACAATATATAAGCAAAGAAGAAGAGATAGATAGCACAGGAAATAACGGCTTTCATTGTAAATATAGATGGCAGTGGTTCGATGGTAAGAACAACGAATAATGATCGATAATTTTTGTGTGACACATGCGCAATTATCTAGTTCAAGTTTTATTTTCTTACAATTACAAAACTATGACTTCAATCGACGTGTTCCATCAGAAACGCTCGTACGTGTTATTTTGAGTTTTTGATTATAGATCCTCCATGTAATCTTATTTTATCGATAGAAAGTGGCTAACATATCAATAAAAAAGAACATACCAGTAGCTTTTGGTGAAGTGAAACAAACAGTCAATATACCAATACTCGCTGCTATAATTGTGAATACAACAAATGCACCTGTAGCAATTGAAGATCGATGTCGTGACCAAGGCGAAAATTCTCTAATAAAGACATTCTATACATGATTATGATTGAACACAAAAGAAAATTATATACAAAGGTGTCGGAGTCATTGACCACTTCCTTGCTGTATTAGTAGTAGTAGCACATTTTGCTGAATTAAATTCATTTTGCGTTGAGTTTTTACATTGCTCATTGTCCACATGAGGATGTTGTGCAGCAAGTGAATTATCAACTGAGATAGCATCATCACTCGTAGAATTTTTATTCATCTAGAGTAAAAAAAAAACAGTATTTAGTAAAAGATAATTTTCAGTAAGTATTCATTGTTCACTAGAATACTTTTCTATAAATTACCTTTCAAGTTATCGATAATGCTTTTCCTATGCTGACAAGTTGCAAAGTCTTGAAAAATTAGAAAATATCTAAAATA